AATATTGTACCCCTTCATGCCATGTTTGTTACTTAGTGATCACTCACGATTTGGATAACTACCATGAAGGTATAACAGCCTTGTGGAGCTAAGACAATTATTTCTGTATTGTTTTTAAATTGCTGTGTTGTAGAAAACCTTGTTAATTAGTGTATTAGTACTCTTTTGATCCCACTGTTAGTTTTGCCTTTTAGACTTTGTTTCTCTACTTGTTTACAGAGGATGTTAAATAAGCTACTGCATCAAACTCTTTAAGCAAATCTATCTCTGCTTAAAAAAAAACAGGGGAGATGTTGGGAATTATCTATTTTAAACATCGCTGTGTGAAGAGGCTCGTAGCAAGCTAGGGCTGCCTGCTTTGGAGCTATCAGCCAGCTGCAGACAGGGTGGTGTTAAAACGGGCAGATGAGCAAAACTCCTGCCTCCCTTTTTAGGTTCGGACCCCCCTGGCTGATGTAAGACCCCCAGACAGTTGCGAAATACTCCCCTTATCAGAATTTGTGTTTAAAGTGACCAATGAGAAGTAACTACTTGGAATATTCATGAAGTTCATTATAGTGGTTATAAAAAGCATGTTCAATTCTAATAAAGTTCGAGTTCAGCCGATCATGTCTTAGTGGTCAGAATGCTGTTTCTCCCGGCGCTTTCCGAACAAATGGACTAAACTTTAACAGCCATGTACCTGATTAATCCTCCCATTTCACATTCCTCCCTAGCGGCCAGCTGAACAGCAGAGCAGGGAATTAGTTTCCTTTGCCCTCCAAGCAATCTAATTCCTCAAGGAAAATGGATGGCTTTAGCTAAGCAGCTAAATATAGTAAAACAAAACACGTTCTTTCCAGTTAAAACAAAACCTTCAACAAACAACTCTCATGTTAAAAATATGTGACAAATAGCATAAACACAGTCTCTAAAACTGAAAAAGGCTGGAAAAGGACATGAAAATCCCCCGAGGGTGTCAGCAGCAGAACTAATCAAACATGGGATTTTAAAGAACTTGTCTCCCAGGACCTCAGCACCCCCTTCCAAACTGTGCCAAGCTCCAGAAACTGTAATATTCCTTCCCACTGATCTTCCCTTTCAGCATCCTATTAAGTCCTGAACGTAACACCTGGGGTTCTCCCAGAGCCCGTTGTTGTATCTGCAGTTTTCATCCTCACTCTCTAAAAGACCTGCTAAAACTCCCTCCTTCTCACATGCCTCACTGGCACCCAGCACAATGGTATCCCAGCTACTTCAGAGCCACGAGCAGCTTCATCACCACCCAGGTTTTGCTGTCTGGCAGCCAGGTAGCCAAACAGAAGCCAAAAGGGGAGTTTCACCTATGATCCTGTGATCAGGAAGGAGCAGTATCTCTCTCCTCCTCCAGCTCCAAGTTTTTACAATGTTTCTAAAAACAGAGTGATTGTCCAACTTCTGTCCTATCACATCTAGTTTATAGCAAACTGACAGAAAATGCCTGGAGAGATTTACTGCATAAGCTCTGTTTCCTTAGAATGTTGGCTAAATGTGACACAAAACCTTAGGCTTGTAAGTACTTGGGCGGATCAACTTTTTTGGTAAAGATTGTGGGGGCTTTGCTACTCTCTTCATTGCATTCAAAATTTTGCAAACTGTCTTATTTACAAGAAATTGTGAACAAAATCTTTTAAAATCAACTTATTTTAAATCAACTTATTTGGTTACCTGTGATTAGGAACTAAATTAATTACTGTAGTAATTTTTGCATATTCCTTCACCTAGTCTTACAATTTCACATGACTACACCACACACTGCACTAAAAACTCTACCAAGCATCCCAATTATGCATTAACTGAATGCAATTTTGCCCCACCTTTATTGGAAAATGAGCAACATTTATGCTTTTTACAAGTTATTCTAATGATTGCCTGCTCCATTTCAGTGCATTAAAGAAGTACCTTTTACTAGTACATCTGTAGTGTGTATTTGAACATCTCCTGTATCTTAGTATCCAGCTGTTCCACAGTCTCACCAATAAAAGACACCAAGTAGCAATTCTGATTTTAGGAAAAGATCCCTGCTTTGAAGTCCATCCCCACTAGAGTCAATAGCACCGATAGTGACTTCACCAGGAGCTGAAGCAGAACTTAAATGGTCATCTGTTACATCTGCAATGTTACCAGCTGCCCATTATTTTTTTTCACCCGTTTTCTTCAGAGTGGAGCACTCGGTCCAGACTCTTCTTTTTTTTAGACTAAAGAAATTTCCAGGGAACTAAACTGTAATGTAATTATGATGGTATGACTCTGCAGTTGTCATAGCAATGTAATGAGGGTGATAGGCTGTTGAAGCAAAAATAAAACTTCCAAGTACAGCTAGTGGTGACCTAACATTTCTAATTCTTTACCACATTTAGAGGCCCTCTGGATATAGGCCAGTGAATCTACAATCTACCCATTGTAGATTGCATTCTGAACTGCTATACTCAGAGTTTTCCATCTCTGGGCAGCAGGAGTCTGACTGTCCTTGTTTCCTTGTAAACTTGTCTTTTCCTGGGACTGCTCATTACAGAGTGTGCTATGTGGTACTGTCAGAGTACTTCAGTGTTCACTGGGTAGAGAAGCTTCCAAGAGCTTCTTTCATGATATCCTTAAAAGGTACCCTTAAAAAGTTATGTGTAAGATGAACTGGGGTTATGGAGTCAAAATGGGAAAGCTGTGTTGGAATGCGATTTGGAACATGGGCAGCAAGATTTTTGAGTAACGTGACTCCATTCCATCATGCACACACCAAACTCGGACTTGAGGCTGCCTGTAACAATCACTCAGTATCTGAGCTATACTTTCCCACCAAGCACCTCTCTTTCAGACCAGTTTCCCTGCTTCTGCTGTTATGGGGTAAGGAAATACAATTCACAATTGCAATAACAGGCATAGAAATCTGCCTCTGGAACAACTGCTCAGTGACTTAATAACAAATTTCTTCTTTTTAAAACCTTCAACTGGCTAGCCAGCACTCATTTGAGTTTTCCTTAGGAATACAGCCTACACATTCTCTCCCATGCAAGATGATGTTATTAAAAGGGATAAAGTGCTGAAAACTTAGCAAGTCCTTATAATCCATCGTGTTTTCCAGTCCAGATGTTGTGGAGTGATGCTTTAAGACTTTTAGGCTTCCCTTAATACAGGGAATACCAGCCAAACATTCCATGTTGTCCGAATCAACAAGCATGCTTAGAAACATAGATCATTTTCCTTTTTAATTTATGTAAGAGAAAGTACTGTGAATTTTGCTCAGGTCCATTCTCACCACTGAGACTATTAATGAATGGCACTGTCTAAAGGTCTGTAAAACAGAATCATTAATTTTAGTAGTGGAAACAGAATCTTCTCCTGAATTCAAAAACAAGTAAAATCCAATTAAGACAGAGAAGCAGGAAATTCCATTCCAAAACGAGGTAGGTGGAACCTTTTCCACTGTAATTTAAAAACTGCTTGCTTCAGTACAGGGTGATGGCTAGTCCTAGTTTTCTGATGGGAGGGTTGGGAAGGGGGGTAGGGTTTGTATTCACTGAAAAGGTAAATTAAAATACACACAGCATTAAAGTTATGCTAAACATCATGCTTTTTATTTGGGGGAAAAGCAAGAAAATAGCAGTACTTCAACAGACTAGAAAAAGCCTCATGTAAATACCAAAAGCACAGCAAATTATACTAAAAGCTGATACATTCTTAAGTCAAAGCACAAAGTTGCATGTAAATATGTGTGTGTATATATATTTATACATGTATAAACACATAGGCACACAACTTTTTAAATACAGGTGTAGCTATCTGGATTATCTGTGTTTTCTTTATCCTTCAGTTTAGTTTTGGGTGAGTGAAGCAATTAGACCAGAATTAACATTAAAAAAATATCCAACCATTGCCACAGACTAGATTAAGAACTTATACACATACACAATTACAGCACAGTCTTTGTGTCCTTTGAATTCCACTAAAATAAGCCAGTTTTAGAGGGAATGCACCCTGGAAGTCTCTTGGCTTTTATCACTGCAACATCCTAGCCTTTGCTAAAAACTAACAGAGGAACTACCCCAGAACATGATCTGCAATTCTTCCTGCAAACTGCATGCATGCCAGACATGAACCATGCAAAAAACCTTCGAGGCTTAAGCCGTTAATTATTACCTTGTGTCAAGATTTAGGCACTGTGCCTTACAGCAATTTTTAGAATCAAATTTAAGAAACAAAAATCGCATTAGGAGTCGATTTTACTTAAAATGGAGAAGGGTGAAGACTCAAGATAGTTGGCAACTCTCAGTTGATCAAGCATTACATGTACACACTATGAAATAATACAAACTTAACCAAGTGCTTTAGTAAGTTCTGAAAACAAAAATAAGTTCTATTTCAAGAACAAGTTAGTATAAAAAGTTTTAACATATGCAAAGTATGTGCTCAAAATATTTATTTTGCGTTTTTAAAAAGAGCTGTCGTCTACCTTACAGCAACAAAGTTCACCCAGTATAAAATATTGCAATTTGTCCCATTATTTCATATGAGAGGTTTCCTTATTCTTCATATGATCAAGAACACTTGCACAAGAGTTCATGTTATTCCAAGCCACATAGTGGCAGACAGACTATGTTTGAAAATGTGCTTTTACCATGCAGTGCAGTAAAAGCTAAGCAAACCATTTCAGAGTAGCGTTTAGCAGGTCAAAGAGCTACATTGATGCAAGAAATCCAGAGAGGAGTATAAAAGTTAATGCCAAGTGGCAGTACCAAGGAAGTGAATTAGATCAACATAAAAAGAAAACCTGCTGATAACATTCACCATCACATGTACAGCTTGTAAGCTAGGAATAAGTTAGCTTAAAGAGAAAAAAAATTTAAACAATGTATGTAAACAATTCATCCAGTACAAAACTGGATGCAGTCAGTAAGAGCAGAACTAGCTTAGTAGTGCTGAGGATGTGCGTGCATCCAGATGCCTGTTCAAAATGCATATATCAATGCCACTGACACCCCCCCCCCCCCAAAAAAAAAAAATTACCTATTGCTATTTACACCACAGCAGAGGCTTCCCTCCCTCCTCATGAAGTTATTACAACTCAGGAAGTTGCTGCTGTCTTCTACGATTAAAATTCCAGTTATAAGCGACCAACATTTGTAAGATGAAAACACCCACCTTGCAAATTATATTGAAAACTCTTGTCAAGCATGTCTGAGGACTCTTCAAAAGTTAAAGTACAGCACTTTCCTCAAGTGGTATTTGCATGAGTAATTTGTACTGAGAGCCTGTTAAAATAAGAGAATTTAACACAACTCAGGGTAGCTGGGTGTTCCTCCTCAAGAAGAGGGATCGATACAAATTCCAGTCATTCTTGTTGAGGTGTTTTACAGGGAGAGAAGAACAAATGAATCTCAGTTCAGTCAGCCTCAAGATGAATCTTCCTGCTTCTAGAAGTATTCCTCCTCTTCATCAAAAAATCCATTTTCCAGGGCATACGAGGAGTCTGCATTAGAGTCAGCTTGGCAGGCACCTTTGTATTCTTGAATGGATTCGTACAGGGAGTAGAGCTGACACAGCAATGACATATCCAGCTGCCGAAGGCCAACCTGAAGGGGGAACAATCAAACAATCAATCATTATTACAATTGCCTTTTTATGGCAGTATAACACTATGTATCATTTGTTGCTAAACAAGAGGTTCAATCTTTTTTCCATTTTGAACTGTTATGAAATACGGAAATGAAGTTCAGTTTCTAAGGTGACAGATGCCCCACAGGATCAACTAGACAAAAGAACAAGGAACAACGTGATGCAGTAGCAAACAACAAAATAGCAAACAACAAAATGTTGTATTACAATGCTGTGCTTAACTTCCAATATGCGTTATTGGAACCATTACAGATAAATTCAAAAAGTCTATATTTCTCATTATGCAAGACAGATACTTTTCCGGAAACACCATTATCTTTCACACATCTTTCTCTCACATGATCACAGGCACTCTGTTCTTGTTTAAAACAGCCTGAAAATAAAAGTTTTAATTGGGACTCTGACTGGTTTTCCTACTTCCCAGCTAAGTACTTCTACTCTAATTTTCTTTTCTGTATTGACATACATAAGCATCTGATAAGGCCAGGTACTGTAGCACAATACAGCACGCTACTTTCAGAGAGCAAACTAAAGCAGAAGTGACAAGGACATATGTCACATCTTGCAAATCTTCAGAGTATTTTCATCTGCCACTCAAGCACAGGCTTGATTATAATTAGGCACCTAATATTTAGAACAGGCTACCTTGTGGTCTGTATCTCTACATCAGGTACAAAACAAGTATGTTGCACTGCAAAGTGAAATAAAGCTACTCATTTAACTCAATGCAGTCTCCCTCTCTGGCAACAAAATGGAGAGTTCACTTGACACTGTCACCTATCCAAGTCAGATAAAATTAAAGCTTGGTTTTGTCTTCCAGCAAATTAAAATCACTACCCAGTTAGAGATTTTTCAAGAAACAGCCGTTTCTGCCTCTTTTTTCAAGGAAGTGTTAAGCTGACAGACTGTTCCTAGTGAGTCTCAGTTTCACCAAATATATGTTTTTGCCACAATTCAACATCAAGAGGAAATAAAGTTAGCAGTCTTTACTGCAGCCTGAAAACCAGGCTGTACTTTACCCAGATTGAGAACTCCTACCTCAAAAATCTCTCCTTACATGTCTAAATTTGAAGGACAGATACACCTGGCACACAAAAAAACCACAAGCTGTACCTAGCACCAAGATCGTCCTTTGACCTTGCTGAACTATCTTGCTAGTTCCTCCTTCTGAAGGTGGGAAGAAGAGAAAAAAAAAATCATACAAAACAATGCCACCGAGAAAAACACAATATTGCATTTTTCAAGGACAACACAAATTACTTGATGAGGTAATTTACACCAAAACACGAAGTCCAAACATGAAATGCTCCAAAGACTAAATGAGAGCATTTTAGGACAAGACATGGAACACTGTGCTCTTTGCCAGCACATTACAGTTAAGCCTTTCCACCACCTCAGATCTACACTACTTTCTTTATCCATCTTCCTTTATAACCTAAAGAAACTGCTCACCTCAGGCAAGAAAGGATGTGAAGCTGGACTTAACACTATGACATGCAAACATGAGACCCACCTGGCAGACTTGCATGAGAGCTAAATGTTTGAGGGACAAGACTACAGTCCAGAACTGTTAAAAAAGCAATCAGGAGTGAGTTGAGCCAAAAAAGTCAACCTGGGGACAGGAGACCTTTGTCTCCCAAGGAAAGTGGGAGCATTTTCACCAGTAGCTCTCCTGTTTCAGCTCTACAAAGGACTTCAGCACTTTCTGTGAAGTTCAATTCTACTGACTGCCAAACATAAACTTCAAGGGAGAAACTACTCAGCAGAATTAACATAACAGGCCTTAAGATATTAAATGTAACCATTTGGTGTTATTTTTCTGTCGTTGCTACTAGTTACAGACAATCAAACACGAAGTCTACAGAGAAAAATGCAACCTCTTCAAAACTTTCAAGTATGATCCCTGAGGTAAGGAAAGTCTGAAGAAATGTCCAACCCTGATAGCATTTCCACAGTTTTTAACGCCAGCCAACCTGGATTTGACTCTTGATAAGGCAACCTACAGCACACAGTTCCATGTGATTAACTCTGTTCTTCACGATCACAGCTCTGAAAAGACCTCTCCTTTCCTCCCTACCTCTCCAAATCATCCAATTCCCCCACTTTCTCAGCTTTAAAAACTTACAAGCACCTTGCTTGATCATGCAGGGACAGATGCTGCTATATATTTATTTCTCACTCAACACGGAAAATTTAAAGCAAACGTATTACTCATTATAAATTGTATCACTGACTGCTGCAAGTAAGTGTATTCAGTATCAATAATAAAGTGCTATTATCCTCTTGACGAAAGGCAGCATATTACCACACAAGAGTCTCTCTAATTTGTACAGGCCACAAAAAAATACATCTGGAAATAAGGAGCCTGTTGCTTGAAAGTCTTTGATTCGTTTAGAAGTATTTTTTTCTTCAAAAGTATTTTATCAAATTACTATCAAGGATAACACAATATTAAAGGTCAGTTCAAAGGGGAAGTCTAGTTATCAAATGACTTTTAAAAGTATCTCATTTGATTTCCCATTAGGAAAAAAAATAGATTTGACTTGTCTAATGAGTTATCCTTGCATTTTTGGAAAGGCTTAAGATGACTAAGACCATATGTCCTTGTTTCCCTTTACAGCATTGCAGAAGAAAGCCCCAGCAGTCGATAGACACCCATCCTTCCTGAGCTTTAATGCAAACTGGCAATTCTAATACATAGTTTTAAGAATTATATCTAACTGTTGAAACACTGGTGGCAGACATTTCAGCACTCTCCTTAATCCACAGAAGGGCCTTTCCACTGACCTTCTTATCCTCAAGCACCTTTTTAGCCTGAGAAAAGTAATCTTGAACTGCGCAGAACTAGAGTTGGAAGAGACCTCTGGAGATCATCCAGTCCAACTCCCCTTGCCCATCTCAAGCATGAGTTTTGAAAGTCTCCAGATAGACTCCATGAGTTCCCTGGGCAGCCTGTTCAGTGCTCTGCCACCCTCAGTGTAAACTTCTCCCTTCATGTTGAGGTGGAACTTCTTGTGTTCAAGTTTATGGCCATTACTCTTCGTGCTGTCGCTGGGCAACACCGAAGACAGTCTGGCACCATCCTCTTGACACCCACTTTGAGATACTTATATACATTAGTGAGATTCCCTCTTAGTCTTCTTTTCTCTAGAAAACACAGGCCTATCTCCCGCAGTCTCTCTTCATAAGAAAGATGCTCCAGACTCCTAATTATCTTTATAGACCTTTGCTAAACCCTCTCCAGCAGCTCTGGAGAGCCCTGTCTTTATCGTACGGATTCTTCCGAATCCTCAGCGCGCACAGCTTAGGCTATTATTAGTCATTACAGCTGCTGCTTGCACTAGAGAAGCACCAACACCCAACTAGTGTTTAATGAAAAGGTGCGCCAGGTCGCCCGGAAGAATTTCGCTATAGTAACGCCGCGCTACAGGATCAAAACAGAGTCCTGGAGAAAACTACACCTAATCACAGCCACTTGGGCTGCACAAATCAGGGCCGACACTGGGGTTATTTTTTAACAGTCTTTCAGCGTGGGTGCCGAGTTCCGGCGGGTGCCACAGGGCGCGGTAAGCGGCTCTCCATCCACACCCGGAGCAGCCCCGCCGCCACCGGCCCCAGCTCTCCCCCCGCCGCCGGTGCCGGAGCGTTTCGGCTCACCCGTGGCAGCCGCGCCGGCTTACGGGGGCTGCACCGGCCCGGGCCACCCGCGCCCACCCCGAGCCGGAGCCAGGGAGCCGTCCTGGCCTCGAGGGGTGGCGGCGCCCCCGCCGCCGCTCGCCATGTCCGCTGCCCCCACCGAGCCCCGGCCCGCCCCGCTCACCATCTCCTTGCGGAGCAGGGCCAGCGCCGCGTCCAGGTTGGGAGGCTTGGGCGGGCGCGGCGAGCCCCGGCCGCCACCGCTCAGCTCGTCTTGGATGCGGGACTTCTGCGCGTAGAGCCGCTCCAGGTCTCGCCAGCGCCCGCCATTGCCGCCGCCGCCGCCGCCCGAGGACGAGGAGTTGAGCAGCCCGCTCAGGCTCTTGGGCAGCGGCGGCAGCCCCGCGCCGCCGCCCGGCCCCAGCAACCCCGGCCCGCTCATCCTGCCGCTGCGGCCACCGACGGAAGCAGCCCCCTCGGCTCCGCCGCGGGAGGCACCGCCCGGAGCCCGCCCCGCCTCCGGGCCGGGCGGGGGCGGGGGAGCCGCGCGAGGCTGGCGGAGGAAGGGAGCGGGGAGAGGTGGCTGAAGTGCTGCGCCGCAGGTGTCCCTGGCGAGGGCCGGTGCGAGGCTCGGCGGCCGCACCGCGGCGGCTTTGTCTGAGGCGAGGCCGGGCGAGCCCCTGCGGGCGAGGCCTCGGTCTGTGCCCCGCGGAAACACCCCGGCGGGAGCGCTCTGTGCCCGGGCGGGGTGCGGCTGAAGGGCCCTGCGGTAACAGGGCTGAGCCTCCGGGCTCGGCCCAGGGGCTGGGGGAGGGATGAAGCGCAGTGAAAGCGAGCATGAAAGCGGTTAACTGCTACAGGCGAAGGGTGACCAGTGCTTCTGTGGCAATGGTGTTACATCAATCACTTACTAACGCGACACTGTTCTCCCTTTCCATCAAGATGTTTCTTTTCTGTTGTGATTTGGGCTGGGATAGATGCCTTCTCAGTAGCTGGTACAAGTGCCTTGTTTTTGATTCAGAATGAGAATAATGTTGATTATACASTGATGTTTTGATTTTTGCTAAGTCTTGTTTGTCCTAAATCAGGGACTGTTTTTTGTCTCTGTGTATCTCATGCTCTACCAGGGAAAAGGTAAAAGAAACTGGGAGGGAGCACAGCCATGACAGGTGACCTAAACTGCCCAAAGGGATATTCACCTTTTTTATTTGTACTTTGTTTTCAATTATTAAACTGTTCTTACCTCAATCTACAAGTTTTACTTTTGATTCTCCTTTCCATTTCACTGGGGGAAGCGGGGGGCAGGGTTGAACAGTGTGGTGCTTGATTTCCCGGTGAATTTAATCCATAACACTTTCACATCCCCACAGCCAGGTTTTGTACAAAAAGTGTTTTGTCTCCACGCATTGCAACTACACAAACCCCGGTCTATCTGCTCCATGAGTCAAATTTCTCAATTTGAGGGGGGTTAGCTTGCTGTTTGTCTTCCAGCTTTGTTCACAGAGTGAATTACTGCTCTGCTTCACAGAAATTCTCAGGTGTTTTCCTGAAAAGACTGAGGGCCATGAAGAGGGAGCCATGCTCCAAGACAGGGGACATTAGGCTCGGGGATCCCCAAAACAGCCAGTGCAGCCGCAGCTCTGCTAGCTCTGGTACCAGCAATACAAACTCAATGTGCCAGCTCTAATTTTGTGCTTCTAATGTTTTCCCCTTTCTTCTTGGCATGTTTGCATCTCTGGAGTCTCTTGGAAAAAAAAAATTAGGGCAGTTTTGCATTATTTAAAATCCAAACCAAAGCTGAGTGTAAATTTGGAGTTCTGGGAATATGCTGCCATTGCAAAGACAGATTGTTTAGAGGTGCATTCTTATTTCCATGACCCTATTTTGTTTGTGGGGTTTTCTCTTTGAGAAATACCCATGTATGGTGATACTGAGTTAAGCTTCTACATACTTTCAGTTTTGTTCCCAGACTCGCATGGCGTTTTCATGGTTTAAATGTCATCAGACTCTGTGACAATTGTTTTCAAACTGCGTACAGTGGGGGAAGCTTTTGCCCATCTTTTTTCATGTTTGCATGCCACTTTAGGGAGTGATTTTTCAGACAACCCGATGTGATTTTTAATGCTTTTTGCACTGAAATGAAGAAGGTTTTGTTTTTTTTTCCCCTTCTGTTAGGTGTGGTACTACTTCTGCCCCGGTGGATTGTGAAAAATTAGAAAGTTCTGATAGCTTTTATGAAACTAAAGGCATTTTAGACCTTACTTATTGTAGATCAAAGTGTCCACATACCACTCATCCTTCTAGGCCAAGGGTGCCTGACTGCAAAAACATTGTTTTGGTTTGCTAAAGAAGTACACACTCTATTATCTTTCTGCTTATTAGGAAGTACATTTATTTGTTCTCCTTCGAACCCCCTTTTTTTTCTTTTCTCGCATATGACAGCTATTTGGAAAAGTTTGTGAGTATGTACCTAGCCCACCTTGTCTTAATTTTTTTTCAGTTTGCCTGATCTCATTAAATTCTGAGTGCATTTTCTTCACACTTGTGTTCTTTAGGCATCTTGTTGCCATAAGTTTACCATTGCAGAGATCATTATGCTGTCTTGCTGCTCAACTTTGTAATCTGAAAAAGAAAAAGAAAACAACTTTTTGGGTTTTCAGTGACCCTTCTCTCAACTGGCAAACTTACCTAGTCTTCATTCATACTAAATTCATAACTATCCTTTAAAATGTAAATCTACTGCTTTATTTATTTTGACCTAGTTATAGCACAGTGGTAGTGGAAGCTGGAGTCTTTTGCACTTATGTCATTTGATTATGAAGCTAGCTTTTGTTAGCTATATAGACTTCTTGGTCTTTGTTGGTTCCAAGAGTTGAACTGCAGAAACATGTTACTTGTCAGAACTGATCTTTGCTAAGGATGTTGCCTCAAAAAAACCCACATTAAAAATACATGTCACTTTGTCATAAAGAATTAGGAAGTTCCAGAAGAGTGGTGTCCCATTCCGTCTCCTTACGGAAATGCGTTGAAGCATGGTTTTAATGTACGTGTTCATATGTGATGTTTTTCCTTTCCTTATTCTTTAGGAGGATACAAAATGCCTGTGTGTCATTTGTGCATAATGTACTAACAATTCTCTTTCCAAATGTGGTGATCTATATGGATTATAGCTGTTGTGGGTTAAAACTCTTCTTCTTTTGTTCCCTTTCTTTGGGAATTTTTTCTTTCCCATTTGTTGCTAGGATACATTAATGGCCGAGTCATCCTGTTAATGTCCGGGTGATTAAAAAAGACAATGATACCTATGACACACCCTGATGGGCTGGCTAGGTGCTGGGAGAAGAGGGTGGCGGCTTGCTGGCAACTCCCGGTCCGGGATCATTGCCCACCGGCATCCCACAGAGACCAATCCCCCTGCTCATTGAATTCCTGCTTGMTGCACCGAGATTTTCTCTCCTGTGCCTTGCCAGAAGTCCCAGCTTCGGAGGTGAACTCTGCTCCATCCCGTCTCGCAGCCGCGGGATTCCTGCTCGTCTCTTTTGCGGTCCTGGGTTTCTTGCTGTCCAGAAGAGCACCGGCGTTTTCCGCTGTGAGTTTTGCAGAGAAACTTTTCTCCATCCACCTCTGCCATTTTGTATCGATCATCGCAGCCGCGGGAGATCTTAGCCAGCCGGGACCCGCGCCGGGACCCGCACCACCACGTCCCCTGCAGCCTCCAGAAAATCGCTGCACTCTCCCTGCCCGGCCGGGAGCCAACAGCATCTCTGCCAACGAGACTGTAACTTCACCAAGGGGCAGACTATGTCTCTGTAAGGCTGTCATTGGGTCTGGGACTGGGCTGTGTTGTTGCTATTGTTATTGTTACTTATTTCACCTTGTTATATATATATATTGGTAAAAACTGTTATTCCCTTTTACCCAAACTCTTGCCTGAAAGCCCATGATTTTTTTTCAAAGCTATAATAATTCGGAGAGAAGGGGGCGGTCATATCCACCACTCCAAGGGGGGTCCCTGCCTTCATTAGCAAATACCGGTCTTTCAAACCGGGACAATAGCATATCTTGAATTGATACATTAAAACTGTTCCCTACAGCCTTTTCTCTGATGCTTTCCCCTCTAGTAACTGAGTTATCTGCAGATGTTAATGCTGTTGTATGTTATGACAGCCCTATGTTAGAAGGTAGTATTGTTATCGACATTAGAACGAGGACACGGGGAGCTAAAGGTAGGTTGTGATAAAAAAAATCAACTAATTTTAAGTGTCTGGTTTGTGATTCCTTGGAATGATTTTCCACCCAACAGAACTGACAAAGTACCTGCGCCTCTGCTTCAAGCTACCCTGCACAGAGCAGCACCTTTGCTTAAAGCTACCTTCATTAGAAATCTTAAGTAATACTCCAGATTTTGCAGCAATGTGGGACATGTCACATTTTGTCAGCTGTGCATCAGGGATATCCTAAATCTTTCTAAACAAGATGTACTAGTGCTCATCGGTCAGTATCTTTTTTGTATTGGGAAGATGTCTCTCACTGGGTTAACTGGCAGTTAGAATTTATTTGTCAAGGACCGGTCAGGAGATCACAAAGTGGGCATACGAAAGACAAATAAATAATTAGTTACACATGCTTTACTCCTTCATTTGCCTCCGTAGTTAAAGTGCCTGAACACATCCTGTTTCTTATGAGGCCTATGGCTTTCATCACTGATGTGGAGAAACAGAGATCAGACTGTTCTGTGGTGCTTTGGGAATGGTGTGAAACTCAGCCACTTGGCAGAAGAAAATTTAGAATGTGCTGGGTATAACTGGAACCTGGTATATGATGCCATATAGTGGTAGATCCAAACAGAAATTAGGTTCTCAACTAATGACCGTTCAATTCTTAGGCATTATTTTTCACCAGTTTTAAATAAAAATGGTCAAGTCCTAATTTTGACTTTTTTTCCGGGTATATTTTTATATCTCTGCCTAAAGGGTGAAAAACCAAATATATTCTAACACATATACAGGGGCTTCCAGCCAGGCCCCAAGCAAAGTGGTATCCTTAGATCTAGAGCAGAGATCCTCCTATTTAAGCTACCTCAATAAACAGGAGCAGTAGAGGGCTCTTGCCTTTTTTACAGATCAGCTACCTCATAGGTACCCAAGAAAGACACTTCAGCCTTTGCAGGGAACAGAACAAAGTGCGAGAAACACGAATATGGAGATTTGGGGATCCAGGCTCCAGTTTAAAGATCCTGATGAAATGTATTCTTGTGGCTGTAAACCCTGGTACATGCCATTCACTCTCTCAGCCTGCTGCTGTTGCCCTTGTTTTTCACCAGATGCTGTTCTTGTCCTGGCACATATCCTGTTCCTAAGCAATGTCCCCTAGCTATGGTCTCCAGTGCCTTAGTTCCTACGCCTGCCTTTTCTAGCTTCAGCTGCCACACATGGACACTTGATCTGTGTGTCACTGGAGAGCGATCCTGGACAAAGAAATCCCTGGCCCTTTATACCCTCAAAATCTGTGCAC